CCACGTTTATGATACACACACATCCGCAGCGCATTGGTCAATATGAAAGTGAGCCAATAAACCTCATTTGCCTATATGCAACCAAGTGCCAGTGAATGAGACCGGATTCAGGTACCGGAATTTGTCTGGATTCAAACCTATACTATGTACAGTACTTGTTTCTCCAGGTGTGGGGGAACTACAACTCCCAGCAGACCTTCGCCCATACATTACATCTGATGATAAATAACTACAGCTGAGTGTTTCTGCACAAAGTCGCTCTTCCTGCGTCCCGTCTCATCCTCGGTCTGTGGAAGGAGCTCAGGACATCCTGTTCTTTCTGCTGTGTTCATGTTATATTTTTCTGCCGGCTGAAGAGTCCTCTGGGGCGGCTGGGAAAGTGTGACAACCAGGAATCAGAATTTCCACACAGCATTCAAGGGTTCAGCTGGGACAGCCAGTTGATGGAACTATGCTCTGAGAAGTCTGCGGGAAGGTTTTTATTTTCATATTTTGGCCAAGTATGTTGAAGGAAGAAAGATGTTCATGAGCTGGAAAATAGAAATTCACATGTTCAGTGAAAATGTTCACAGAATGTGACGAAACAATGCTGAGTGTTATTTTACTGTTTTATACACTTGTGGGACTGAGTAATCAGCAGTGGAAAATGAGTCCTGCATTCTGTACGTAGCGCACTCCTGAGTCCTGCATTCTGTACGTAGCGCACTCCTGAGTCCTGCATTCTGTACGTAGCGCACTCCTGAGTCCTGCATTCTGTACGTAGCGCACACCTGAGTCCTGCATTCTGTACGTAGCGCACTCCTGAGTCCTGCATTCTGTACGTAGCGCACTCCTGAGTCCTGCATTCTGTACGTAGCGCACTCCTGAGTCCTGCATTCTGTACGTAGCGCACTCCTGCGTCCTGCATTCTGTACGTAGCGCACTCCTGAGTCCTGCATTCTGTACGTAGCGCACACCTGAGTCCTGCATTCTGTACGTAGCGCACTCCTGAGTCCTGCATTCTGTATTTAGCGCACTCCTGAGTCCTGCATTCTGTATTTAGCGCACTCCTGAGTCCTGCATTCTGTACGTAGCGCACACTCCTGAGTCCTGCATTCTGTACGTAGCGCACTCCTGAGTCCTGCACTCTGTACGTAGCGCACTCCTGAGTCCTGCACTCTGTACGTAGCGCACACCTGAGTCCTGCACTCTGTACGTAGCGCACACCTGAGTCCTGCACTCTGTACGTAGCGCACACCTGAGTCCTGCACTCTGTACGTAGCGCACACCTGAGTCCTGCACTCTGTACGTAGCGCACACCTGAGTCCTGCACTCTGTACGTAGCGCACACCTGAGTCCTGCACTCTGTACGTAGCGCACTCCTGAGTCCTGCATTCTGTACGTAGCGCACTCCTGAGTCCTGCATTCTGTACGTAGCGCACTCCTGAGTCCTGCATTCTGTACGTAGCGCACACCTGAGTCCTGCATTCTGTAATAGGAAGAAGGGTCAGCCGCACACCGGAGGATAGATGAATATAATGTGTATTTATTGATCCATAGGACACACAAAACACCAGGACATGAATACAGGACCTGTTAACACGTTTCACACGATCTCGTGCTTAATCACGGCTGACCCTTCTTCCTATTGCATTGTGTGTGGTGGTGAGCCGGAGCCTGCACCTGTTGTGGATGGATCTGGATTGTTTGCCTGAGTGGTATACCTTTGTTCTTTGGATCCTGCATTCTGTATTTAGCGCACTCCTGAGTCCTGCATTCTGTACGTAGCGCACTCCTACATCCTTCATTCTGTACGTAGCGCACTCCTGAGTCCTGCATTCTGTACACAGCACACTGTATGTAGGGAACATTAGGCTTAGAATTTGGCTTAGCATTAGAGCTAAAGTTAGGGTTAATGTTAGGCTTGGCATTTGGGTTAATATTAGGGTTAGGATTAGGTCTAGAGTTATAGTAAGGGTTTACAATTAGCATTAGTAATTAGGATTAGATCAGATTTAACATTTGGGTTAGCATCAGGGATAACTTTAGGGTTAGAGTAGGTAATATTAGAATTAGGGTTGGCATCAGAGTTAACATTGGGGTTGGAGTAAGGGTGAGTATTAGGCCTAGAGTAAGGGTTAAGAGTTAGGGTTCGTATCAGATTTAATATTAGGAGTAACGTTAGGGTTAGCATTAGGCCTAGAGTAAGGGTTAAGAATTAGGGTTAGTATTATTTTTAGAGATAAGTTTAGCCTTAGAGTCAGGGTTAGAGTTATGGTTAGCCTTAGGGTTAGGTTTAGAGATAAGGTTAGCCTTAGGGTTAGGTTTAGAGATAAGGTTAGCCTTAGGGTTAGGTTTAGAGATTAAGGTTAGCCTTAGGGTTAGGTTTAGAGATAAGGTTAGCCTTAGGGTTATTTTTAGAGATAAGGTTAGCTTTGGGGTTATGTTTAGAGATAGAGGTTAGCCTTAGGGTTAGGTTTAGAGATAAGGTTAGCCTTAGGGTTAGGTTTAGAAATAAGGTTAGCCTTAGGGTTATGCTTAGAGATAAGGTTAGCCTTAGGGTTAGGTTTAGAGATAAGGTTAGCCTTAGGGTTATTTTTAGAGATAAGGTTAGCTTTGGGGTTATGTTTAGAGATAAGGTTAGCCTTAGGGTTATGCTTAGAGATAAGGTTAGCCTTAGGGTTATGGTTAGAGTTATGGTTAGCCTTAGGCTTAACATTTGTGCTGGAGGTGAAATTACTCTAAACAATACTTCAAAGGTAAGAAAACTCTCACCATCACCTTTAGCAGAACTATCCCGCTTCTCTCCATAAGAGAAAGCTCCATACTTGCCCATCTGCTACCTCCAAGGCCCATGACAATGTTTACATCTCTGTGTGCTTCTCCATATCAATATCTGCACAAGCACGGTCAGGGCCATGGATAAGGGGGCACCACAAGTCCTCCTGTATGGGACCCAGGTCAGCAGGGGGGCCCAGGTAGGTGGGTGAATTGGATGTGGGCAGGGAGGGTGGTCGGCACGGCAGGGGGCAATTACTGGAACCGATCCCCTGTATGGCTCCCTCCGCAGCAGATGAAAGCCGGCTTCATCTCCTCTCCCTCCCACTGGCTTGCAGCTGCTGCAGAGAGCCATACAGGAGATCGGTTCCAGTATTTGCCCCCTCCCCCCCCCGCCGCACCCATCGCCTTCACTGTGCACCATACGTTTCCCCCTGTGTGCCCCCACAGTGCTGCCGGCTGGCCTCCTCTCCTTCCCACTGGCAGCTGCAAGCATACAATAGAATCCTTCAGGATGGATAGTGGGGGAAGGGTCCTCTAAATATGTCACATTTACCAGCGCTTTACTTTTCTGAATGAACACAGTGAGTGATCGGTACTGATCACTCACTGTGTTAATTCATAACTGAAGCATAGTAAACTGTTTTTTTTTTTTGGGGGGGGGGGCTGTCAGGTTGGCAGTATGGGGCCCCATGGTTTCTAAAAGCAGCCCTGCCCCTGTGTGCCCCCACAGTGCTGCCGGATGGCCTTCTCTGCTTCCTAATGGCAGCTGCAAGCATATAATAGAATCCTTCAGGATGAGGAGTGGGGGGAAGGGTCCTCTAAACATGTCACATTTACCAGCTCCTTGCTTTTCTGAAGGAACACAATGTGTGATCGGTGCTGATCACTCACTGTGTTCATTCATAACTGAAGCATAGTAAACTTTTTTTTTTGGGGGGGAGGGCGGGCTGTCTGGTTTGCAGTATGGAGCCCCATGGCTTCTAAAAGCAGTCCTGCCCCTGTGTGCCCCCACAGTGCTGCCGGCTGGCCTCCTCTCCTTCCCACTGGCAGCTGCAAGCATACAATAGAATACTTCAGAATGGGGAGTGGGGGGGTAAGGGTCCTCTAAATATGTCACATTTACCAGCTCCTTACTTTTCTGAACAACACAATGATTGATCGGTACGGATCACTCACTGTGTTCATTCATAATTGAAGCATCGTAAACTGTGTTTTTTTTTTTTGTTTGTTTTTTTTTTTTGGGGGGGGGGGGGAAACCTGTCAGGTTGGCAGTGTGGGGCCCCATGGTTTCTAAAAGCAGCCCTGTGCACGGTAGAATCACTGCCTGCATACTGACACAATTATTAATAGTGCATTGCCACTGTAATCCAGAGACACAACAGACTACTTTTAATAGTGAACTACTTCATGCCCAAGCGCTCTTTATTTAGGTTTGTGATGATGCCTGAACAAAGATGGGGCCGTCCTTCTGTGGAGAAAGGCAGATGATGGCGTTGTCCGGGGGAGCCCCGTGGAAGTGTTACACTGACACAATGCTGCGCATGCATGGAGTTAGCATGAACTACATATCCGATGACAGGTCCACTTCACTGCATTGCGAACACGCCGTTCCCTCATCAGACGCAGCGCCTGCCAGCCGGTGTCCTCTCCGCGCTGATAACATCTGCTGCGGATTTTGTGCTTTTGTGGACCCGGCCGGTGGATGTTTCCTTTGTGTATATAGAACGGCATGTCATCAGTGATTTTGGAAGGAGGAATGTATTTTTAGGAATGAGTAATGCCGTCTGCCCAACGCGGGGCAAGGAAATGGTTTTGTCTCCGGCTGACTTTTCATGTTATCCATCCGGCAATGCCAACATCACGTATTTAAAGGATCATTCCACCGTTTACTCGTATTTCTATTTTAGGTGTGTTGTGGGGGGGGGGGGGGGCTGAATATCCAACGCGCTCTGTTTTCTGTTTCTGGAGGTGACATTTTCATCTGATTTCTCCATCACATACAATGAATGAATGGGGCTGAGAGTTCTACCAGACTTCAGCAGCAGGTGGGCGGAGCTGTGAACCCGGTTTACCAGCATCCACTAATATTCAAAAGGGATATTTGAATCTGGTGGGCGGGGTCATCTTCTGCCAAAATTCCTAAATTTTGTTTCTGTCCATCTGGGAGTTTTGAAGAATCTCAAACTTTTTTGTGTGTTCTAGTTCCTCCTCCTAATTGATGGTGGTTGGAACCCCTCATGATGGGCACAGTGGGTGTACAGACCTGGGAACTCAGTACTGGGATGGTGGGAACCCCTCATGATGGGCACAGCGGGTGTACAGACCCGGGAACTCAGTACTGGGATGGTGGGGAACCCCTCATGATGGGCACAGCGGGTGTACAGATCTGGGAACTCAGGGAACCCCTCAGTACTGGGGTGGTGGGGGACCCCTTATGATGGGCACAGTGGGTGTACAGACCTGGGAACTCAACACAGGGATGGTGGGAACTCCTCATAATGGTCACAGCGGGTGTACAGACCCGGGAACTCAGCACAGGGATGGTGGGAACTCCTCATAATGGACACAGCAGGTGTACAGACCCATGAACTCAGCACAGGGATGGTGGGAACCCTTAATAATGGGTGCAGCGGGGTGTACAGACCTGGGAACTTAGCACGGGGATGGTGGGAGCCCCTCATAATGGATACAGCAGGGCTGCCAATCGGGGAACTCAGCACAGAGACCTCACCTATAGAGTATCAATTAGAGTAACAATTGTGGGTGGACTCACCCTGCTGTGTCCAACCAATGGCTCTGCAATCAGCCAAGCTCTTTGCTCCTTGCTGATTGGAGACCTCTGCAGAAAGACCACTGCTTCCACCCAGAGCAAAGGTTCCTCTCTGCAGCACACTGGCAGGGGAAAGGCTTTTCTACACAGGCTGTGGCTGCTTTGGAAAAAAAGACATTGTAAGACTTTGCATACCTTTTGTTTCCAAGCACCTGGAATGTCTTAAGTTGGTTTAACTTGAATGCTCATTTGGCCCCTAATTGGCTCTCTTGGCTCTTGAAGCTGGAAAGGCTGATTGTAAGCAAATTAGCCTACTGCCCTCTGGGCCCCACCAACCTGAACAACTTAAGACCCATCTCCCTGCTGCCATTTACCTCAACTCCTAGAATGCTTAGTCTACAATCGCCTGAGCTCCCATCTCACCAACAACAACCTTCTTGACCCTTTACAGTCTGGCTTTCGCTCACTACACTCCACTGAAACTGCCCTACTAAAACTCACTAATGATCTACTAACTGCTAAAACCAATGACCACTACTCCATACTCATCCCAACCAACGGCCACTGCTCCGTACTCATCCCAACCAACGGCCTCTGCTCCGTACTCATCCCAACCAACGGCCACTGCTCCGTACTCATCCCAACCAACGGCCACTGCTCTGTACTCATCCCAACCAACGGCCTCTGCTCCGTACTCATCCCAACCAACGGCCACTGCTCCGTACTCATCCCAACCAACGGCCACTGCTCCGTACTCATCCCAACCAACGGCCACTGCTCCGTACTCATCCCAACCAACGGCCACTACTCCGTACCCATCCCAACCAACGGCCACTGCTCCGTACCCATCCCAACCAACGGCCACTACTCCGTACCCATCCCAACCAACGGCCACTACTCCGTACCCATCCCAACCAACGGCCACTACTCCGTACCCATCCCAACCAACGGCCACTACTCCGTACCCATCCCAACCAACGGCCACTACTCCGTACCCATCCCAACCAACGGCCACTACTCCGTACCCATCCCAACCAACGGCCACTACTCCGTACCCATCCCAACCAACGGCCACTACTCCGTACCCATCCCAACCAACGGCCACTACTCCGTACCCATCCCAACCAACGGCCACTACTCCGTACCCATCCCAACCAACGGCCACTACTCCGTACCCATCCCAACCAACGGCCACTACTCCGTACCCATCCCAACCAACGGCCACTACTCCGTACCCATCCTAACCAACGGCCACTACTCCGTACTCATCCCAACCAACGGCCACTACTCCGTACTCATCCCAACCAATGGTCACTACTCCATACTCATCCCAGCCAATGGTCACTACTCCATACTCATCCCAACCAATGGCCACTACTCCGTACTCTTACTACTTGACCTCTCTGCGGCTTTTGATACTGTCGACCATCCCCTCCTCCTCAAAAAACTCTCTTGGCCTCCAAGACTCTGCTCTCTCCTGGTTCTTCTCCTACCTATTGCAGTGCTCCTTCAGCGTTACCTATAACTCTGTCTCCTCCTCTTCACTCCCTCTTTCTGTAGGGGTCCCTCAAGGTTCTGTCCTTGGACCTCTTTTCTTCTCCATCTACACCTCCTCCCTTGGTCACTTGATAAACTCCCACAGCTTTAAGTACCATCTCTATGCTGATGACACACAAATCTATCTTTCTACCCCTCACCTCGTCCCTTCAGTCTCCTCTCGTATTACTAACCTACTAAGTGATATATCGGCATGGATGTCACTCCACTTCCTCAAACTCAGTCTTTCCAAAATGGAGCTCATTCTATTCCCTTCAGCCCGTGCCCCCTCCCCGACTTCTCCATCAATATCAATACCACAACCATCGGTTCCTGCCCTCATGCCAGGGTCCCAGGTGTAATCCTAGACTCCCATCTGTCCTTTCAGCCCCAAATCCAGTCGCTGTCCAAATCTTGTAGACTTCACCTCCACAACATCTCCAAGATACGCCCGTTCTTAACCACAGAAACTACTAAGCAACTTATACACTCCTGGCTATCTCTCGCCTTGACTATTGTGGTGAGGAACTAACCAAATCAGCAACAGGCAGACAAACAAATATGAGGTCAGGATATAGCTGGGTAACACCAGGATGTTAGAAGAGATGTGCCATGGTCAAGAACTAGCCGTAACAGCCAGGCAAATTAAGATGGGTCAATACTAGGTTGGATCCCAATGTGAAGTCAGCAGAGATAGGCTGAGATCAGGAACTAGCCAAGTCAACAGGCAGGCAAGCAAAGGCAAGATCAGGATCAGGCTAGGTCACACCAGGAAGTCAGCAGAGATAGGCTGAGATCAGGAACTAGCCAAGTCAACAACAGGCAGGCAAGCAAAGGCAAGATCAGGATCAGGCCAGGTCACACCAGGAAGTCAGCAGAGATGGACCATGGTCAGGAATGGTCAGAAATGAATGAAGGTCAGAGACAGGCCAGAGGTGGTCAGGAACTAGCCAACTCAACAAAAGGCAGGCAAACAAAGTTGGGGTCAAGATCAGGCTGGGTCACACTAGGAAGTCAGTAGAAATAATCTGTGGTTAGGAACTAGCTGTGTCAGCAACAGGCAGTCAAACAAAGTCATGGTCAGGATCCAGCCAAGTCACACCAGGAAACTAGAGGAGATGAGCTGTGCTCAGGAACAAGTAGAGTCAGCAACAGGCAGGCAAACAACGGCAGAGTCAGGATCAGGTCGGGTTCCAACGGAAAGTCAGCAGAGATGGGCCGAGGTCAGGAACTAGCCAAGTCAGCAACAGGCAGGCAAACACAGCCAAGATCAGGATCACCAGGAATTCCGAGCAGAGCCAAGTCCAGGGGTAGGCCAAATCAGCAACATGTAAGCAGGTTACAGAAATAGGTGTGGATTCGGGTGGCAGGTTAACAAGTGAAGACAATCCATTGTTTCTTAAATAGGCCATCTGGCACAAATCAATGGGCTTAGGTGGGCGTGTTCTTATGTATTCCCTCAAATGTGTGTGCAACAGGCTGCCATTGACCCTTGCTTTGCTCACTGGAGAACGTGTACATCGTCTTCTGATGCCGTCCTAGAAACACCAAACGTTTTTCATGATTGCCTTGGGTTGTGATGAGGATGACTGAATATTGAATTGAAGCATTGTGCTGTAATGTTCAGAAAACAACATTTATTCCGAAGACAAATTGTATGCAAAAACAATACGTTTCAGGGACTGTCCTCTTCCTTCTTCATCAGGGCTTAAAGGAAAAAAGAAACAATGTATATGTATTCAAAGATCAATGAATACCAAATGATAAAAAGCTACACTCTCCTTTCTCTTCACTGCTGTGTGTGTCTCTTGGAGTTTATTCTTCTCTTCTTGTCCTGGTGACAACAAGAAACAAACTGAGGAAAAAATCTCCCCAGTGGGGTCACAGAGCAGTAATAGAGCAAAAAAAGGTTACAACTTCTTTCAGCTATTTAGAAATGAAATTGAAAAAAAAAATGTTTTGGCTCGAAATACACTTTAAAGACAGATTTACTATCAAACAGTTACATAATCACTCTACATGATAGCAACATGCAGCCCGCACCCTCCTGAGGTCATGGTGCATTGTGGGGTTCCTCTGCTGTCAGGGATGATGTAAGGACTCGGCAATGTCACGACCGACCCCCTTACCTCATCCAGCCATTGTATCGATGATGTCTAATGTCAAAGATTAATTAGCACAACACCCAGCTGGGTTTTAACAGGCCTGGAATTCTGGGCCGGCTCTGCGCACACAGGACAGGGGTGCGGACAGTGCTTCCAGCCTGCGTTCAAAGGTGCACTCTGGTCTCACACGAAAATTAACACGGATGCGGTCATAGGATCTCAGCTTCTTAGAACTTGGCTCCTGTCACTATATAGATTTGTATAAAATTGATATATTATATATGTAATATAGCTTTTATAGCAGCAAAGGGTGGGGCCAACTCAATATTGAACCCTCCGTACTAAGACTGGGGGGGCCATTAAAGTTCATGTGTGTGTAACGGCAGGCCGACCAATACTGTTGGCAATATAGTATATACAGTATATATATTATTATTATTATACAGGATTTATATCACGCCAACAGTTTGCTCAGCGCTTTACATTATAGTGGGAGACAATACAGTAACAATACAGTTCAATACAAGAGGGATTTGAGGGCCCTGATCCTGGGAGCTTACAATCTAGGAGGGAGGGGTGAATGGTACAATAGGTAATAACTGTGAGGGATGGAGTGGTTGGAAGAGTAGAGGATTCCAGTATTAGCAGAGGGTGGGATAGGCTTTCCTGATATACTGTGTGTGTATATATATATATATATATATATATATTTTACAATAATAAATTGTAAGAGATTGTAATAGATTGTAAGCTCCAAAGAGCAGGGCCCTCGATCCCCTCATGTTTTGCATTGTACTGGTATTGTTCTGTCACATGTTCTGTCCCCCTTTGTAATGTAAAGCGCTGAGCGAACTATTGGCGCTTTATAAATACTGTATAATAATAATAATTATATATATTTTTAGAATAATAATTGTATTATAAATAAATAAGTATACAATTAGGCTTCATGTACACGGGATGTTTCTGAACAGTGGAAACTGACTGCTGGAAAATGTAGGTTAAAAAAAGTCTGATTATGCGCATTTGCGTTTAGAAGCGTTTTTTTAAAGATAAGCACAGGAGAACCTCCCAAATGCCCAGAGTGCACTGAAAAGTGGTAAATTATTAATGAATTCAGACTGTTTCAGAGAAATACAGAGAGTAGAAGCAGAGACAGCAGTATGTGTTGAGATTAGCTTAGGTGTGAGTTGCTCATTAACATTTCTTTTGTTTCCAAGGGTGGGAAAGGTGTCTGGTGGAGGGAGTCATTAAGGTCACCTGGCAGGGGGGTCTTTATGAGGAATTTGAGGTGTGAATGGTCATTAACATATCTTTTGTTTCCAAGAGTGGGAGAGGTCTGAGATGTGAATTGATCATTGCAACATGTGACCAGCTTGGTAGGAACATCCTGTGTTCAGTGTTTTGTCCATCTGAGTACCTTGAAAATGCTTTGCATGCATTTTTCATGATGAAAAAAGGCTCTGGACAGCATCGGGAGACCATAAGACTTGAAAAACAATTCAGACACAAACTCTTATAAATGTGATTTGCTGCGTTTAGCCTCGTTTACAAGCATTTGGCATTTGAAACGCTGATAAAATCGTCTGCTGAATGCAAGTTTTCTGCGTTCAAAAAAACGACTGTAAACAACATGTACATGTACATAGACACATAGGAAAACATTAGGGAGAGTTCAGGGGCTGCTGAAAAAAACGTGGAACAGCTCCTAAACGTGAGTTTATCATCTGCAGTGTACATGAGCCCTTAAAGTAATATATAACAATATATTTTTTTAATATATAATATATTTTATATATATATATAGAAAGAGAGATCATTATATATACAGTACATCACCTGTTTTTAGACTGAATCTGACATATTAGAGGGTCAGTTTGCTGAAAAATGGAAATTTGATTTATGTGTATGTGAAGCACATGGATCCAAAGACTCTTCCAGGGACTCCCCCAGCAAAAAGCTCTCAAGAGTCTCACTTTTCCTTCTAAAAAAAATTCATAGTTGGGACCGGTTGTAGGAGTCACGAACACAAACTTGGCTGCTGGAGTCTCTGAGATAAAAATGCCAGTTGGTGATCTAAGGTTGGATTTTGGCTGACTAACCCTTTAAGCCCAACTCAAAAAGAAGTTTTCTTTATTACCGATAGTTTTCCATAGGGAGGGTAAGAGTCAGAAATGCTGTCTAATGTTCTCCAGGAGGGATTCCTTCCCATTTCCTGTCCAGGTGTCACCAGGAATAAGAGGGTGCAGGTGTCCCCGTGAATAGTAGGCTTGAGGTGTCAACACAAATAGTAGAGTTCAGGTGTCACCACAAATAGGAGAGTACAGGTGTCACCATGAATAGGAGAGTGCTGGTGTCACCATGAATAGGAGAGTGCTGGTGTCACCATGAATAGGAGACTGCTGGTGTCACCATGAATAGGAGAGTGCTGGTGTCACCAGGAATAGGAGAGTGCTGGTGTCACCAGGAATAGGAGAGTGCTGGTGTCACCAGGAATAGGAGAGTGCTGGTGTCACCAGGAATAGGAGAGTGCTGGTGTCACCAGGAATAGGAGAGTGCTGGTGTCACCAGGAATAGGAGAGTGCTGGTGTCACCAGGAATAGGAGAGTGCTGGTGTCACCAGGAATAGGAGAGTGCTGGTGTCACCAGGAATAGGAGAGTGCTGGTGTCACCAGGAATAGGAGAGTGCTGGTGTCACCAGGAATAGAGTGCTGGTGTCACCAGGAATAGGAGAGTGCTGGTGTCACCAGGAATAGGAGAGTGCTGGTGTCACCAGGAATAGGTGAGTGCTGGTGTCACCAGGAATAGGTGAGTGCTGGTGTCACCAGGAATAGGTGAGTGCTGGTGTCACCAGGAATAGGAGAGTGCTGGTGTCACCAGGAATAGGAGAGTGCTGGTGTCACCAGGAATAGGAGAGTGCTGGTGTCACCAGGAATAGGAGAGTGCTGGTGTCACCAGGAATAGGAGAGTGCTGGTGTCACCAGGAATAGGAGAGTGCTGGTGCCACCAGGAATAGGAGAGTGCTGGTGCCACCAGGAATAGGAGAGTGCTGGTGCCACCAGGAATAGGAGAGTGCTGGTGCCACCAGGAATAGGAGAGTGCTGGTGCCACCAGGAATAGGAGAGTGCTGGTGTCACCAGGAATAGGAGAGTGCTGGTGTCACCAGGAATAGGAGAGTGCTGGTGTCACCAGGAATAGGAGAGTGCTGGTGTCACCAGGAATAGGAGAGTGCTGGTGTCACCAGGAATAGGAGAGTGCTGGTGCCACCAGGAATAGGAGAGTGCTGGTGCCACCAGGAATAGGAGGGCGTGGGTGTACCCACGAATAGTAGGCTTGAGGTGTCACCAGGAATAGGAGAGTACAGTTGTCACCAGGAATAGGAGAGTACAGTTGTCACCAGGAATAGGAGAGTGCTGTTGTCCCCAGGAATAGGAGGGTTCAGGTGTCCCCAGGAATAGGAGGGTGCTGGTGTCCCCAGGAATAGGAGGGTTCAGGTGTCCCCAGGAATCGGAGGCTACTGGTGTCACCAGGACACAACAAACAATACAGACCAGACAGGTCTTCTAAACTTTCCCCACTCTACTAAATGCATATGATTTTGTTTCTCCCTATGCACTAAGGTTATCTATGTTTTTTTTTTTTTATTCTAGTGCCTAATTATTGGCGGGGGCCCTTGTGGACTGCGGCTTGCCATTGAGTTGGCTTGTTTAGGAGCCAAAGTGGTTGTGGTGGAAAAGAGAGACACCTTCTCCCGAAACAACGTTCTGCACCTCTGGCCGTACACCATCCACGACCTTCGATGTCTCGGGGCCAAGAAGTTTTATGGCAAGTTCTGCGCGGGAGCCATTGATCATATAAGTGAGTGTCATGGCAGAGGGGCTATGTGAGAGCTGGCTTTTGGAAAGCTGATTAAGGTGGATCTAACCCAAGATATATTTTTTTGCGTGTGAGATGCATGTGTATTAAGTGTAAGTGTAACACATCCAGAGTTACTCTTTCTCCAAAGCTTGTGAAGACCTAACCTTCAAACAGATTCCAAAAGATACTCTCCAAAATCTTGTAGAAAGCCTTTCCAGGAGAGCGGAGGATGTTAGGGCCGCAAAGGAGGTCCAACTCCACCCTAATGGTCATAGTTTTATTATGGGATGACCAACAAGCTTATTGGAACTTGTTGGTCATCCCATTCGAAAACCATGGACATTAATATGGAGTTGGACCTGCTTTGTGGCTCTAACATCCTCCACTCTATGGGGAAGGCTTTCCACAAGATTGTGGAGAACATCTATGGAAATTTATGTCCATTGGGAGGTCAGGCAATGATGTTGGTTGAGAAGACCTGGCTCACAATGGGTGTTCCAGTTCACCCCAAAGAACCTCAACCCTACTGAACATCGTTTTGGTGAACTGGAACACCCATTGTGAACCAGGTCTTTTCAACCAACATCATTACCTGACCTCCCAATGGGCATAAATTAGATGTTCTCCATAATCTTGTGGAAAGCCTTCCCCAAAGAGTGGAGGATGATAGAGCCACAACGGAGGTCCAACTCCATATTAATGGCCATTGTTTTCGAATGGAATGACCAACAAGTTCCAATAAGCTTGTTGGGCATCCCATTTTAAAACCATGAGGTGTTGAGGAACTTAACCTCAACCCTACTGAACATAAGTTCCTCAACACCTCATGGTTTTGAAATGGGATGACCAAACAAGCTTATTGGAACTTGCTGGTCATCCCATTCGAAAACCATGGCTATTATTATGGAGTTGGACCTCCTTTGTGGCTCTAACATACTCCACTCCTTGGGGAAGGCTTTCTACAAGATTATGGAGAACATCTATGGAACAAGATTATGGAGAAAATGTATGTCCATTGGGAAGTCAGGTAATGATGTTTGGTTGAGAAGACCTGACTCACAATGGGTGTTCCAGTTCACCCCAAAGATGTTCAGTAGGGTTCAGGTTAAGTTCCTCAAGACCAAACTGGCCAAGCTATGTCTTTATGGAGATGTTTCATTAAAAGACTTGGCTCACAATTCATCATCAAACGTAGGTAGGGTTGAGGTCAGAGCTCCCCACCAAACTTCCTGGCTTTGTACCAAGGGTCATGGGGGAACAGAAAAGGGTATTCCCCAAACTGTTTCCAAAACATTTCACCTTAAAATTATCTGAAATTATTTTATGCTTAGTATTGTTGTAGTATTAGTGTATATGTGTGAGCAGTGCGGGATCGGGTTCCTTTACTGCCCAAGGGAAAAAAAAAAAAGGTCAAAGTGTCCCCCATTGCAGATTCTGCCCTTATTGCACCATCCCCAAAGTGGTGGCCGCCTCTTCATGCCTACCCCCAGCTATGTGTGTGTTGACCTACATTTTGGGGGGATATCTAGTGAGCAGTGCATGTCAGTGTAGTAAAGAACATCTCAGACCCTTTGATGTACCACAAGGCATTCAAGCCAATTCTCATGCTCTGTGATGTACTGGGCTGGCCAAAAATGGTTATGGTTTTTGGTGAACTGCTGCTCAGTAAGAGTGCCGTAGAACTTAATCATCCAGATGTCATCCACATTAAATGTGCATGCGTAGGTGTAAACGGTCTCAAATGTGCCTCTTTTTTTCTGGGTCGGTGACTTTTAGATATGCTGACCTTTAGATAGCTGGTACTCCAAAGTCTGCTGGTAAAATCGACACTGGTCCTCTAAAGTTCTAAATTGGCACCTCTGGTAGTATCAGTCTCGTAGGTCCCCATCCCTCCGCAGCTCTCGCTGGTTCCTCCCTCTTACTTCCATGCTACTATGGAATAGTCATGAAGAAGGTGCACCCAATGTCCATAGGAATGCAAGTTCAATGGTGTAGGGTTGTCAGTGGTGTACCCCAAGGTTCAGTGTTATTAGTGGGGTACCCCAAGGTTCAGTGTTATTAGTGGGGTACCCCAAGGTTCAGTGTTGGGACCCTTACTTTTTAATATATTTATAAACGATATAGGGTCGGGGATTATAAATTCCATTTCAGTCTTTGCAGATGACACCAAGCTGTGCCGGGGAATAACGTCCTTACAGGAGGATGTCTCCAACTTACAATCCGACCTCAATGCTCTGTGTAATTGGGGGACTATGGGGCCAATGAGGTTTAATGTTGATAAATGTAAGGTTCTGCACTTGGGGGCTAAGAATATACATGCATCGTACATACTAGGGGGGGTACAACTGGGGGGGTCAATGGTGGAGAAGTATCTGGGGGTGGTCAATGGTAAAGGATCTGGGGGTTCTGGTAGATCACAAGCTTAATAATGACATGCAATGCCAAGCTACCGGTTCTAAAGCGAGCAAAATCCTCTCTTATATTAAGAGAGGTATAGACTCCAGAGAGAGAGATATCATATTACCCCCCCCGGTACAAATCATTAGTAAGACCTCATCTGGAATATGCAGTTCAGTTTTGGGCACCAATTCACAAAAAGAACATTGGGGAACTGGAGAAAGTACAGAGAAGGGCAACCAAACTGATAAGAGGCATGGAGGAGATCAGCTATGAGGAGAGATTAGAGGAACTGAATGTATTTCTCTACTGAGAAGAGGAGATTAAGGGGGGATATGATCTCCATGTATAATACATAAGGGGGGATATGATCTCCATGTATAATACATAAGGGGGGATATGATCTCCATGTATAATACATAAGGGGGGATATGATCTCCATGTATAATACATAAGGGGGGATATGATCACCATGTATAATACATAAGGGGGATATGATCTCCATGTATAATACATAAGGGTGGATATGATCTCCATGTATAATACATAAGGGGGATATGATCTCCATGTATAATACATAAGGGGGGATATGATCTCCATGTATAATACATAAGGGGGGATATGATCTCCATGTATAATACATAAGGGGGGATATGATCTCCATGTATAATACATAAGGGGGGATATGATCTCCATGTATAATACATAAGGGGGGATATGATCACCATGTATAATACATAAGGGGGGATATGATCTCCATGTATAATACATAAGGGGGATATGATCTCCATGTATAATACATAAGGGGGGATATGATCTTCATGTTAATACATAAAGGGGGGGATATGATCTCCATGTATAATACATAAGGGGGATATGATCTCCATGTATAATACATAAGGGGGGATATGATCTCCATGTATAATACATAAGGGGGGATATGATCTCCATGTATAATACATAAGGGGGGATATGATCTCCGTGTATAATACATAAGGGGGGATATGATCACCATGTATAATACATAAGGGGGGATATGATCTCCCTGTATAATACATAAGGGGGATATGATCTCCATGTATAATACATAAGGGGGGATATGATCTCCATGTATAATACATAAGGGGGGATATGATCTCCATGTATAATACATAAGGGGGGATATGGGGGGGATATAATCTCCATGTATAATACATAAGGGGGGGATATGATCTCCATGTATAATACATAAGGGGGGGATATGATCTCCATGTATAATACATAAGGGGGGATATGATCTCCATGTATAATACATAAGGGGGGGATATGATCTCCATGTATAATATAACATAAGGGGGGGGATATGATCTCCATGTATAATACATAAGGGGGGATATGATCTCCATGTATAATACATAAGGGGGGATATAATCTCCATGTATAAATACATAAGGGGGGGATATGATCTCCATGTATAATACATAAGGGGGGGATATGATCTCCATGTATAATACATAAGGGGGATATGATCTCCATGTATAATACATAAGGGGGGGGGGGATATGATCTCCATGTATAATACATAAGGGGGGGATATGATCTCCATGTATAATACATAAGGGGGGATATGATCTCCATGTTATAATACATAAGGGGGGGATATGATCTCCATGTATAATACATAAGGGGGGATATGATCACCATGTATAATACATAAGGGGGGATTATGATCTCCATGTATAATACATAAGGGGGATATGATCTCCATGTATAATACATAAGGGGGGGGATATGATCTCCATGTATAATACATAAGGGGGATATGATCTCCATGTATAATACATAAGGGGGATATGAATCTCCATGTATAAATACATAAGGGGATATGATCTCCATGTATAATACATAAGGGGGGGGATATGATCTCCATGTATAATACATAAGGGGGGATATTGATCTCCATGTATATATCATCAGTGGTTCATATAGTGAACTCGGTTAATAGTTATTCCCCCCTGAGGTCATCACAGAGGACAAGGGGGCGCTCTTTACATCTGGAAGAAAAGAAATGTAATCTCCAAACACGGAAAGTTTTCTTCACAGTAAGAGCTGTGAGAATGTGGAATAGACTCCCTCAAGAGTTGGTTGTGGCCAGCTCAGTGGATTGCTGTAGGAAAGTCCTGGATTCTTTCTTGATACACAGAATATAACTGGATATAACATTTATAGGGAAAGTTGATCCAGGGAATATCCAATTGCCTCGGGGATCAGGAAGAATCTTTTCCCTGCAGGAGCAAATTGGATCGTGCTTTGCTGGGTTTTTTCACCTTCCTCTGGATCAACTGTGGGTGTAGGATTATAACTTTTTTTTTTTATGGTTGAACTGGATGGACTTTTGTCTTTTTTTCAGCCAGACTAACTATGTACATTAGGAGGCCTTTATTGAGAATTGCAGCAAGTATATCAAGCCAACCTATTGTCTTTGCAGGTATCTGGCAGCTGCAGCTCATGTTGTTTAAAGATCGCTCTTCTGCACGGTATAGAGATCCATGTGAATGTCGAATTTGTCAAACTTCTGGAGCCGCCGGAGGATCAAGAGAACCAAAGTAGGTTTTATTGTAATAAAATAAATTTATATTGTATCCCCCGCCTCATTTCCTGGCTGGAGGCGTCCAGCACCATCCAGCTCTTTCCTTCCCAGCCTGGCTGTCCCAGGCCCAAGCCCCTTTTTGGATTGCAGTACAGTCATGGAGGCTCACCATTGCATGTGGGTGTTACCTATGTAAATACAACCTGCCTAGGAACGCCCACTCCTCCAGGTTACCACCCACTGATCAAGGCGTTTGCATAATCCTTCCCAAGAGCCATCCCACTGCTTGCATCAGAGCTGAGGGTTCTTGAGAGGAGGCAGGGGGGCTGTGGGTGTTTTCAGCAAGCTGTTTTACAGCACCCTGCCAGCCCCCACCAGTCATGCATTGCATAGAGAAGCACAGAGACCCAGTAATGACAATTCACATAATGAAAATGAAAGGATTTTATATAAAAATGTCATTACCGTGTGTTGATAAAAAAATGTTGATACCGTGTGCTCAGAGCGACTTCACAGACGACTAACAGTGCGATTTCACGTGCGACTTGCTGACAATTTTATTTAACAGATGTCCGTGGAAGCCACAATGAAGCTGCACTGAAAGAGCGCAGGAACCATTCTCAAAGTCGCTGTGGTTCCATTGCCGCAAATGGGGTGCAACTTGTCATGAGCCTTTGAACTGACAAGCAGGTGCGGACTGACAACTCATAGGGCCCCCGGGCAATTGGGGATCATGGGGCCCCTGTGTCCTTGCCCACACTCAAAACACACCCAAAAAAGCCTATAAAAGGTACCAGGGAAATTTTTTGGGGCCCCCTACTGACCACGGGCCCTCAGGCAGTGCCCAAGTGCTCGAATGGTCAGTCCGCCCCTGCTGACAAGTCACATGACAAGTCACATGACAAGTCACGCTGGGGTGAACCAGGGCTAGATGTAAGATTTAAGGCTGCATTCACATCTGTGTGTTAGGAGAACGCACGCAGAAACCGTCATTTCCATGCACGTCCCCAGAATGAGCATAAAATACGCATTGCGCTTGCAGTGCCATTCATGCACCCCAAATGCGGGAAGCAAATGCATGCAAAAATGCTGCAAAGCACGTGGTAAACACACAAAAACCAGAGTGCAGAAAAAAAATACCCAGAACGCAGCAAAAAAAAAAAAAAAGCAGCAACAAAAAGAAAAAAAACCTACACAAACCAGAATGCAGCAAAAAAATACAAACACTAACCAGAATGCAGAAAATAAATACAAACCAGAATGCAGCAAAAAATCCCCCAGAATGAAGCAAAAAAAACAAAACACACAAACCAGAATCCAAAAAAAAAACCCCACTAACCAGAATGCAACAAAAAATTAAAAAATCCCCACAAATCACAATGCATTAAATAAAAAAAACAGAGCGCAGCAAAAAAATAAATGCATAAACCAGAATGCAGCAAAAAAAAAAAAAAAAAACCCCGTAACGCAGCAAAACAAACCAAACCTCAGCAAAAAAAAAAAAAAAAACACTAACCAGAATGCAGAAAAAAATACACAAACCAGTATGCAGCAAAATAAAAACCGCATGTAAACCAGGACGCAGCAAAGAAAAAAAACACAAAAACCAGAACGCAATCAAAAAAAAAAAAATAAACCAGAACACAGCAAAAAAAAAAGTGGTTAATGTTAATGGTGCCCCAAATACGGAAAGCAAAAAGCATGCAGGAAAAAGACACAAACCGGAGCGCACCAAAAAACAAAAAGCACACAAACAGGAATGCAGCAGCAAAAAAAAAAAACAAATGCAGCAAAAAAAACAGAAAAAAAACAGAATGCAGCAAAAAGACAAAACAAAAAAAAAACACTTTGCTTTGCCGCATTTGTCACGCATAGGGCAGCCCACGCCCGGTTTCCATGTCGCGCAAAAAAAAAAAACGTATGGAGAAGCACACATGTCACGTGCGCTACAGATGTCATCTAAGGTAAGTCAGGGCAGCAGACGTTCTAACAACGGCCAATCCCCAGTCACGCCATCGATAATCTTGGCACAGGTTGGTGCCTTTCCCCGTCTCATTGCAGCCACCGGTGCGTGCCGGGATAAAGGTGGCGATTAATCTGGCTCCGGTTGGTGGGATCGTTGTAGCCGGAAGGGGAAGGCGGGGGGAGGTTTCAGAATGATCACAAGGTGATGACAAATTGGAATTTTGGAAGATTCTGAAACCCGAGAGAATGAAAATGAGACGAGGACATGAATTTATAGCCTGTTATGTCAGCGGATTGCCAGTGTCAGAGTGCGGCAAACACCCCCCCCCCACCCCCCCCCAACCCCCGCGAAGCGGCGATTTGTAAACTGTTACTGGCTCGTTGATGTGTCGGGAACGAGTTTTGGAAATAATGACATTCGAGGACCGTTCCAGAGCCGTTCTAGAAGTAGAATGAAATAATCGAGAGCAAGAAAAATTCGGAGTGCCCTATATCCAAGCAGCTGAAGGTTCAGATGTTCAGGTACTTATTACCACTCACAGATAACACTACTTCCCTGACAACCCCTTCACCTGCTTTTCTCTCCAGAAGGACGGCATCACCTTTGTTCAGGCATCATCCAGAGTCACCATCTACTTCCTGGAGCGAGATACTGACCGTTCTGGGCTGTGTTCACAAATGTCTGACACAAATCAGCCCCTGCTGATTGTTAATATTATTAGTATTATTATTGTTATTATTATTGTTTTTGTTGTTATTATTATAATTATTATAGAGGATTTATATAGCACCAACAGTTTGCACAGCCAGATTGTTTGAACTGGACTGGGAATGTACCCAGAACAGATTCACAAGCCAATCGCCCCATGTCTCATTCTCACCCCTGACCGTAATGTCTCCGCCTCTATAATACCAACATTAACCAATTACCTCTCCATTTCCATTTTCCAGAAGTCGCTTGGAGGGCGGAGTACCTGCCCCAGGATCACCCCTTATCGGACTATGACTTTGATGTGATCATCGGGGCAGACGGACGCAGGAACACCCTGGAAGGTATTGTAATTATTAATGGTGTCGATCCCATATCACTCACCTGAAAGTGAACCTTTACTTCACTACTTACCTAAACCTGATCTCCAGCCTCCCATCCAGTCTTGCACAGGGTACCGGCTCCTCCCCTCCAGTCTTGCACAGGGGGTATTGGCTCCTCCTTCCCCATCCAGTCTTGCACAGGTTTACCGGCTCCTCCTTTTCAGTCTTGCACAGGTGTACCGGCTCCTCCCCTTCAGTCTGGTACAGGGGTATTGGCTCCTCCCCTTCAGTCTTGGTACACAGGTATTGGCTCTCCTCCTCTTCAGTTTGCACAGGTGTACCGGCTCCTCCTCTTCACTTTTGCACAGGTGTACCGGCTCCTCCCCTTCACTCTTGCACAGGTGTACCGGCTCCTCCCCTCCAGTCTTGCACAGCTGTACCGGCTCCTCCCCTTCACTCTTGCACAGCTGTACCCTTGCACAGGTGTACCGGCTCCTCCCCTTCACTCTTGCACAGGTGTACCGGCTCCTCCCCTTCACTCTTGCACAGGTGTACCGGCTCCTCCCCTTCACTCTTGCACAGGTGTACCAGCTCCTCCCCTCCAGTCTTGCACAGCTGTACCAGCTCCTCCCCTTCAGTCTTGCACAGGTGTACCGGCTCCTCCCCTTCATTCTTGCTTGCACAGGTGTACCGGCTCCTCCCCTTCACTCTTGCACAGTTGTACCGGCTCCTCCCCTTCACTCTTGCACAGTTGTACCGGCTCCTCCCCTTCACTCTTGCACAGGTGTACCGGCTCCTCCCCTTAACTCTTGCACAGTTGTACTGGCTCCTCCCCTTCACTCTTGCACAGGTGTATTGGCTCCTCCCCTTAACTCTTGCACAGTTGTACCGGCTCCTCCCCTCCAGTCTTGCACAGCTGTACCGGCTCCTCCCCTTCACTCTTGCACAGGTGTACCGGCTCCCCCCCTTCACTCTTGCACATTTGTTAGCGGCTCCTCCCCTCCAGTCTTGCACAGCTGTACCAGCTCCTCCCCTTCACTCTTGCACAGGTGTACTGGCTCCTCCCCTCCAGTCTTGCACAGCTGTATCGGTTCCTCCCCTTCACTTTTGCACAATGTCTCCAGGTTGTCATGTTGCATTTTCCCGAAAATGACAGCGGCTGCAGATGGAACAGGAAAGATTATTTTTTAATAACATTCAGTTGCAATATGTCACAATTTTATACGCTACATTATTATTTTTATTTATTTTCTATTTTTTTTTTTTTTCACGAAAGTGGAGTTACCCTTTAAATGTCCTCTCTGTCAGTCGTCTGACTCTGCAGTGTGTCGGTGTTGTCATCTGATGGGTGACACAGCCGTTCCTCCAGAGGTGAAGGTTGTTATTTACTAAGGTGTTTCCTGGGTGGTACAACACATGGGTGTGTCCGGCCAGCTCTCTGGATGACGGAGGCCATCAAACAGCAGCTGCGGTAGAACGCCGAATCCAACCCACGATCCTATAAAATCCTGAACTTCCTACAAAGAGACTCTGTGAGCCCCGCAATTTGACACTTTTGAGATTTCCTTTTAATGCCGTTTAACAGACGTCTTTAGTGTTTTAAAGGCTTTCTTTAGCTTTACAGCGTCTATGTGATCATCAAGATCATGAAAAATATGTCATGTGTGTATAATCCATGTACACTGTATTGCCGGAATATCGGGCCGCCGGCCTTTCCACACACATGACCTTTAATGGCCCCCCAGTCTTAGTCCGTAGGGTTCAATATTGAGTTGGCCCCGCCCTTTCCCCCCCACATGACCTTTAACAGCCCCTCCCAGTCTTAGTCCGTAGGGTTCAATATTGAGTTGGCCCCGCCCTTTCCACACATATGACCTTTAATGGCCCCCCAGTCTTAGTCCGTAGGGTTCAATATTGAGTTGGCCCCGCCCTTTGCAGCTATTACAGCTTCAACTCTTCTGGGAAGGCCGTCCACAAGGTTTAGGAGGGTGTCTATGGGAAGGTTGGACCATTCTTCCAGAAGCACATTTGTCAGGTCAGGCACTGATGTCGGGGGAGGAGGCCTGGCTCGCAGTCTCCGCTCTAATTCATCCCAAAGGTGTTCTATGGGGTTGAGGTCAGGACTCTGTGCAGGACAGTCAAGTTCCTCCCCCAAACTGGCTCCTCCATGTCTTTATGGACCTTGCTTTGTGCACTGGGGGGCAGTCATGTTGGAACAGGAAGGGGCCATCCCCAAACTCTTCCCACAAAGTTGTCCAAAATGTCGCCTTAAGAGTTCCCCTCACTGGAACTAGGGGGCCAAGCGCAACCCCTGAAAAGCAACCACACACACATAATCCTCCCCTCCACCAAACTTACACTTGGCACAATGCAGTCAGGCAAGTACCGTTCTCCTGGCCACCACCAAACCCAGACACATCCACCGGATTGCCAGACAGAGAAGCATGATTGGTCACTCCAGACAACACATCTCCTCTGCTCTAGAGTCCAGTGGCAGCATGCTTTACACCACAGCATCTGACGCTTTGCATTGCACTTGGTGATGTAAGGCTTGGATGCAGCTGCTCGGCCATGGAAACCTATTCCACTGTTGTTGGGCTCATCTGAAGGCCACACCAAGTTTGGAGGTCTTTAGCTATTGACTCTGCAGACAGTTGGCGACTTCTGCGCACTGTGCGCTTCAGCATGCGCTGACTTCGCTCTGTCATGTGACATGGCCTACCACTTGGTGGCTGGGTTGCAGTTCCCAGTTGCTTCCACTTGTTTCCACTAACAGTTGGCTGTGGAGACAAAGGATCACACGAGGGTCAAAGGAACTCCCAGAGAGGTCACTGGAGACACATTGGGACACAGGAGTGCACAGAGGTCATTGGGGTCACTGGAAACAAAGGAACACAAAGAGGTCACTGGAGACACAGGAGGTCACAGAGGTCATTGAGGTCACTAGAGACACAGGAGCCTACATAGGACACTGGGGTCAGTGGAGACACCGGAGTTTAAAAAGATCACTGAAGACAGTGGAGACAAAGGAATGGCCAAAGATCACTGGGGTAGCTAAAGACAAAGGAGTTTACATAGGATAATGGGGTCAATGGAGACACAGGAGCACAAGTAGGTCACTGGGTTCACTGGAGACAAACAAATGCACAGAGATCAGTTGGGTAGCTGGTGACACAGGAACTCACACTGGGGTCACTAAAAGCATATGAACTTACATAGGATACTGGGGTCATTGGAGACATAGGAGCTCACAGAGGTCACTGAGGTCACTAGAGACACAGGAGCCTACATAGAACACTGGGGTCACTGGAGACACAGGAGCGCAAAGAGGTCATTGGAGACACAGGAGCTTACATAGAATACTGGGGTCACTGGAGACACAGGAGCACAAAGAGGTCATTGGAGTCACTAGAGACAAAGGAGGGCAGAGGTTATTGGGGTCACTGGAGACACAGGAGTGCAAAGAGGTTATTGGGGTCACTGGAGACACAGGAGTGAAAAGAAATGACGAGTCAATGGAGACAAAGAAACACACAGAGATCACTGGGGTAGCTAGGGACAAAGGAGTTTACATAGGACATTGGAGACACAGGAGCACAAGGAGGTCAATGGGTAAACTGGAGACAAACAAATGCACGGAGGTCACTGGAAGCATATGAGCTTACATAGGATATTGGGGTCATTGGAGACACAGGAGCTCTCAGAGGTCACTAGAGAAACAGGAGCTTACATAGAAAACTGGGGTCACCGGAGAAACAGGAGCACCAAGAGGTCATTGGGATCACTGTAGACACAGGAGTGCAAAGAGGTCATTGGCATCACTGTAGACACAGTAGTGCAAAGAGGTCATTGGGGTCACTGCAGACACAGTAGTGCAAAGAGGTCATTGGGGTCACCAGGGACACAGGAGTACAAAGAAATGACCTGAATCAATGGAGACAAAGGAACACACACAGATCACTGTGGTAGCTGGAGACACAGGAGTTCACATAATACATTGGGGTCAATGAAGACACAGAAGCACAAAGAGGCCACTGGAGTCACTGGATACAAAGGAACGCACAGAGATCACTGGGGTAGCTGGAGACACAGGAGTTCACATAATACATTAGGGTCAATGAAGACACAGAAGCACAAAGAGGCCACTGGAGTCACTGGATACAAAGGAACACACAGAGATCACTGGGGTAGCTGGAGACAGAAGAGCTTACATAGGACACAGGGGTCAGTGGAGGCACCTGAGCTCCCAGAGGTCACTGGAGACATAGAAGTGCCTAGAGGTCACTGAGGTCACAGGGGTCACAGAGGTTGCTGGAGACACAGGAGATACTTCATCCTGTATCTCGGCTTTGGCGTAGCCACTCGTTGCTTGAATACCGAGCAACACCTGGGTTTGCCATTTAAAGTCAGCACCAACCAAGAGAGCCGTCTCCCAACTGGCCATGGCGCCGGTGCTGCGGACGAAACTATAAGCACCGCCCCCACCTTAACCAAAACTAAAACCAGGCATTTTGTTCTTCTCATCTTCTCGCCTCTTTGACGTGATTCAATGTCTACAAATGTCTCCACAGATACCTTCGGCCCTTTAAACATTCACGCTCCTTTTTTTTCCGCCGCAGGATTTCGAAGGAAAGAATTCCGGGGAAAACTCGCCATCGCCATCACAGCCAACTTCATCAACAGAAACACGACGGCGGAAGCCAAGGTGGAGGAGATCAGCGGCGTGGCCTTTATCTTCAATCAGAAATTCTTCCAGGACTTGAAGGAAGAAACAGGTTGGTCCTGATTCTCAGAGCCGTCAGTAAACGCCGACGCATGACATGAGAACGCCGGCTCCGGGTCATTGGCTTTGTTTTCAGGGGTGACGAATAGTTCAGGAGGAAATCAGCCTGACACAAATAGAAGCAACCTGACAAAGGAACTTTCATTGCTGAATGAAGGCCACGGCCATGTGTGTGCGTCTTAAAGCGAATCCAAACCCCGGCACTAAAATCTCATCGAAGCTCTACCAAGTTAACCGCTTGAGCTCCGGAAGGTTTTACATCCTTCACAACCAGGCCATTTTTTTTTTTGCTATTCAGCACTTCGCTACCTGTTATTATTCCAGCTACTTATAAAGTGATATTGATGATCACTGTTATAAGCAGTAGTATTAGCTGTCATGAATGGCTTGAATCATTCATCGACAGCTTGATTCCTATTGTGATCTGTGATTGGCTACAGCTAATCACTTGGTACAGGGTGCTGTGATTGGCCCAGGTACCGTAGCTAGGGCCAATCACAGCTGAGGGCCATTCACAGCATCACTTATAGCTGAGGGCCAATCACAGCATCACTTGCTGTCCCTCCCACACTACTTTTACTGCAGGCAGGCGGTGGGCAGGACGGCAAGTGGTTAACGTCAGTTCAAAATTAGTTTTTAGTCCTTTTAAATCTGCAGCTTTCATTCAAATTATCCCGGATGATACTGCCACTGGGGTCCTCGTTCAGCCACTTTCTGTTGTATGGTGACAACGCCTTTTGAATTCTGCTCCTGCGCCCTCCCTAAGGTCCATTCACACCTAGGCATATTGAGAATGCCTGCAAAACCGACCACGTTTGTATTCATTTTGTGTGCTTTCTCGCACTACACATAGAGGTCATTCCATTCATTTCAATGGGCTGTACTGTGAACGAAAAATGCAGCAAAGTATTCCATGTGGTCTTTGCCATGTTAAGTTTTGCGCATTTTTAACCGTACATTTTCATGCATTTGTTTTGTGCTTTTCAGCACTGAAAAACTTTAGTCTGCATGCTGTGTTTGTGGTGTCAATAACAATGAATGGCACCTCAGATGCAAAACATGAGGTTTTCATGCATTTCGTAAATGCTCACTTAATTGCATGATATTGCTGCACAAATAGCCAATCTTTCCCTATCCTCTTTTTTTCCTTTTCTTTTGTTTTTTTTTTTTTACTACTTTTCCTTCCTTTTTTATCTTCTCCCTTTTCCCCTTTTTATTCCTATTTTTTTTTTTTTACATTCTTTTATTTAAGAATTATGAAGTATTACAATGCAATAAAAAAACATCCAAGAGGCAACTACATTTTCACATTTATTTTTAGAATTAATAGTTTGGAGCACTGAAATTAAAGTTTTTTTTCTTCATTATGTCGCACATTGGAATTTGATTGACTTATAAAAAGTTTTTTTTTTTTTTTCACATATATTTTTAATATTTTTATATTTAAGGACATTATTATTGGACACTTTTTTGATGTTTTTGATTGATTTATATATATTTTTTTTATGACACTCGATTACGTGATAGTTAAGTTTATATTTGCAATTAAGATTATAGTTTTGATTTTGATGTACTTTCTGGGTATATATATATATATATATATATATATATATATATATAGAGAGAGAGAGAGATATATATGTGTGTGTGTTTGTGTATATTTGTATATAGAGATAGATTGATGTGTAGTGATATATATATATATATATATATATATATATATATATATATATATATATATATATATATATATATATATATTTTTTTTTTTTTTTTTCTTGTTGATGATTTTTGAATATAGATTATTTGGTTAGAGTGCTACTTTTTTTTTAATTTTCTGTCACTTGCAACTAATAACATCAATATATAAACAAAAATATATGAGCAGCAAAATAAAAATGTTCCATGGTATGGACAAGTAGAGAAGATAATGTAATAATGTGATAATAAACATGACAGGACATTACACAATAAATGATGAGGTAATAAAATGTACAACCGAGAAAAAGAAAATTGAAGCAGGATAGTGATGATAATATTTATATATAAAATTTCAGTCCAAAAAAAAGAATGATGTAATTTTTTTTTTTTTTTTTTTTTTTAAACAAAATGTTGTTCTAAGCTCAGGATCTGTGGGCAGTGTATCTGTGTGTGTTCATACCCGTCTTGTAATCTTGTATTAAATAAACACCGAGGCTGCTTTTCCAAGAATTGAGGCTGCAGAAGACATCACTGGCGGCTTTTCCTGGATAATAAACTTTTTTTTTTTTTTTATCTCTTTTTTTTTTTTCTTTTTTTGCTTCCAGGGATCGACCTCGAGAACATTGTGTATTACAAGGACAGCACGCATTATTTTGTGATGACTGCAAAAAAGCAAAGTCTACTGGACAAGGGGGTCATCCTGAACGTAGGTGGATTCTGTTCATTCATTGGCTCTGATTCATCAATATTTAATGCACCTCACAGGCCCTTCAATAAAACACAAACTATTGGTGAGGGACGTTGGATTATCAATGACTATTACGTCCTCATGCACACGGGACGTTTTTACAGCGGCGGTTTTTGGCTTTTGAATTTTTTTTCTACAGCCAGTAAACTCCCCAGCATGTAATCCTATGTGGCCATACACACATATACTGGAATTAATGTTTTTTGGCTGGAAAAAAAACCCAGGACTAGTGGGCTTCTAGAGGAGTTTTTTAGCTGCAAAAATGCTCTAGCGCTGAAAAGCGCAGCAAAACATGGTAAATTGCGGCAAACCAGCGTTTTTGGACTTTTGTTGACTAAAAAAATTTTTTTGTTTTGTTAAAAAAAATAACCTCTAAAAAAAATGCAAACGCGGAAAATGCGCATACAAAAATGCAGAAAAACTCATGTTTTTAACGTGACTTTACACAGGTAATGTTACCAGCATTATTGAAACACCCAGTGTGCATGGAGCCTTAGGCAAAACACGGTGAATTGCGGCAAACCAGTGTTTTTTCGCCTTTTTTTGACTAAAAAAAATGTTTTGTTTTTGGTAAAAAAAAAAAACCTCTAAAAAAAATGCAAATGCTGAAAATGCGCATACAAAAATGCAGAAAAACTCACGTTTTTAACGTGAATTTGCACAGCTAACGTTACCAGCATTATTGAAACGCCCTGTGTGCGTGGAGCCGAGGCAAAACGTGGGGAATTGCGGCAAACCAGTGTTTTTGGACTTTTTTTAACAAATAAAAAAAATTTTTCTTGGTAAAAAAAAACCCTGTAAAAAAAATGCAAACGCGAAAAAAAAAAGCGGGAAAACGTAAATACAAAAACGCTGAAAAACTCAACGTGACTTTATATTAAAAGTCGGACAAACGCTCTTACCCTTTTTTTTTTCTACCCTAAACTCTCTGGCTGTAAATCTGAATTCTGGGCACAAAAACTTGCATTTAAATATAATATTTAAGGAAATAAATTCACTAAGTGTGCATCAAATCCCAGATATTATCTTGTAAATTAGAGATGACATAATTATTATGCTGTACATAGAGAGCAGAGCTGTGAGAAGGGCCCGGCAGGCTCCACCCACATCAGAACACTACAGAAGGGGGCGGAGACCAGGCCAGCCACACTGCACAAGGAGAGAAAGCAGAGCTGTGGGAGGGGCCCGACAGGCTCCACCCACTGTAGAAAACTACAGGAGGAGATGGAGACCAGGCCAGCAACTCTGCACAAGGAGAGAAAGCAGAGCTGTGGGAGGGGCCCGGCAGGCTCCAATCGCTGTAGAAAACTACTCGAGGGGGCGGAGACCAGGCCAGCCATTCTTTACAAGGAGAGAAAGCAGAGCTGTGGGAGGGGCCCGGCAGGCTCCACCCGCTGTAGAAAACTGCTGGAGGGGGCGGACACCAGGCCAGCCACTCTGCACAAGGAGAGAAAGCAGAGCTGTGGGAGGGGCCTGATAGGCTCCACCGACTGTAGAAAACTACTTTGTATGTTTTCCAGGATTATGCTGATGCCGAGGCGTTGCTTTGTGCCGAAAACGTGGATCAGGACAACCTGCAGTCCTACGCCCGGGAGGCCGCGGACTTCGCCACCAACTACCAGCTGCCGTCTTTGGACTTCGCCATCAACCATTACGGACTGCCGGACGTAGCCATGTTTGACTTTACCTCGATGTATGCCTCAGAAAACGCCGCCCTGGTCAGAGAACGGCACGGACACCACCTCTTGGTGGCCCTTGTTGGAGACAGTTTACTTGAGGTTGGTCAGCTTACGAAACATGGTGTCCACCCAATGGTCCATTGTATGTGGGTTTTATTGCTGGTGAGGTTATTGTCTAGTCATCCTCTAAGTTGCTAGTAAAGCTAAGGCTGGAAAACAACTTTTACCTTTTTCTCACTTTTTTTTAAATGCACTTTTTGGGAAGAAGATTTATGTTTCTGGCCTTTAATGAAAAGAGAAATCTACTTTTATGTGTTGGAAATGTAGGCAGTCATGGTACACAATGTATGTTTGCAGATCATGACCCTCTTCTTCAGACATGGTGGGTCACTGAGCCTGAAGAAGTCTACTGTGATCCACGAAACTCGTAATTCATTTACTTACCAGCAGATAAATCCCTCCTCATCGAAATGTTTTCACATATGAGGACATGACTGGTGATACGTGTCAAGGACTTCACAATAATATCTATAGAATATGTATATGTGATATTTCTTTAAATGGAATGTCCCCACAGTCCCACTTGGATAGGTTGAAGAATTGGATATGAATCCTTCCCGCTGCCGCCTCCCAGCTCTTTAAGAGCTTTTAAGTGCTGGGAGGAGGAGGCTGGCGCTTGGGTCATGTGACCACTGTGATTGGCTGCCATCAACCATTACGGGCAGCCGGACGTAGCCATGTTTGACTTTACCTCGATGAATGCCTCGGAAAATGCCACCCTGGTCAGAGAACAGTACGGACACCACCTCTTGGTGGCTCTTGTCAGAGAAAGAGGTGGGCACTTGGGTCAATTGTACAATTTTAATCCAATGTTTAAACTGGACCTG